TCCGAAACGCATTAAACCTGTGTCTTTGTAACATGGCACAGTGACCCTACGATCACCCATGAAAATGAGTGGTGGCCAGCGCATTCTCCCATGTTTGCAGATCCAGTAGGCCTCGAAAGGGAATAGGAGACGCAGGATTCCAATAGCTACCCTGGTGCACGGATATCCTCCAGTTGGTTCAGTTGATCTGGTGACGTCTCCCTTATGGCTTCGAATAAGTTGCGACGCCCGATAATGGGAAGTTGATATCCTGTTTATCCAGCATATATTTAATGAGCCCCTTGGAGGATCCGATATTACTCGCCTCCCTTTTCCTCAGCTTCTCTGCCCTCCTCAGGTGAGTTGCGGGTAATTGCACAATTAATTATTCAATGCTAAAAAATATAGCAAAGGTGGCCCATCAACAGTTCAAAGAAAGGCATGGGCGAAAATCAACGAGGTGCTAAGAATTCGCTCAAGTTTCGCAGACAGTGTGACTAAGAACAATCACAACTAACAGTCGTGCAAAATCTTGGCAAAAAGAAACACGCAAATAGTAAATTGGAGATAGAAGAGAATGCAAGATCAGTAGAAATTCGTTCTTGCTATCAAGTTGGCATGCCTTTGTCGTTCTCACACTAATGACGTACTATAAAAGTGCATTTTCAGCAATTTGTTGAGAAAAGACCTATCAGAGAGGCTCAAAGGAAGGCTATTTAGCGACATTCCGTTAAAAGGATTATGGAAAGAATGGGACTGGCATTGCTTTATCCTTTGTGACTTGAGCACGGCCATTATTAAGACGGCAGAGCATTTAGGAAAATTCATTTTGTGATATGAATAAATTGTTCATCGTTGCTGTACCACATAGATGGCAGTTTCATGATTATCAGCGGCAGATTTACAACGAATAGTCCAGTGTCGTGCTAGCAACCTTATCCACTAAAACAAAAACTAATGCACTTTGCTTCTCTCAGGACAAACTGTTCTTATATGAGATAAATCAGCCCTTTAGACAAACACGGTATCCAAAGGCTTTAGCGAATCGTCAAATGTAAGGAACAAACTTCGACAATAGAGTGATAACCTATTAGATAATTAGCGAATGAAGGTTATGGAAAGGAAGGTGAACAAAGTGAAACCTTAAGACGACAGTAACCTTGGTACTTGAGACGCTTTTAGTAGAGTCACACCCCAGTACTTACAAAAAATTTTAAGTTTACAATCCTTTCCTCGTCATTTTTTCTCTTCGTCTCCACCCCTTCCTTCTAAGCTCGCACCCAGGGGACTCTAGTCCGATGCGCAGAAGAGAAAGAGGGTCTTTAATTGGTTGGCACGGTGAGGCATAAAAGAAAAACGCATACTTGGACTGATCCGAATTGAATTGTTGCTTTCTGTCAACCACTGGACTTGTACTTTTACCAAAGGGTGCCGCAGCCTGCGACGAGAAAAACAGGGCAAAATCCTACAAAAGCCCCTTCAAATGTAAGAGCTGAGGCAAAAGAAGTTGCGGTCATAGATATTTGACCGTAAATGAAGCAGTTAGAGGCAATGAAAATCATACCATTGAAAAAAAACTACAAAATTTGAAGTAGGAAAGTAAGTCGGAACTAAGGAATCCCCCAAACGTGCGCAGATTTATTCCCGCGATTTCTGCACAAGTAACGCAAAATTTGCTTCATAAACTGTGAACAACTTCATAAAGGCTATATTCGTGAAGTTCTAATTGATGCCTTCACCACTAGAAAGTGGCTAAAACAGAAAGGACATCGAAACCAGGATGGTTGGTATTGACAACAATGAAGTAGATGCAGAATGCTCCGCCAGTTTGATGATAATAACGCCTATTTCTAGCATTTGCACAGCATAGCTTCGGGCAGAACGTACTCCTCTTAAACTATGAGGAGTCAAGCTGGGCCCCAGAATGGATTTCAAAAGAATAGCCATGGAGCGGGGCTATACTAATGCGACAATTAATAAAAGTCGCTATTATTCAGATTGAGCATTAAATTACCTCGTAAAATAATGAGATGTGATAAAAAGCTTACGCGCTGACATAATAGGTCTAATTAGAAAGTCGGGAATCGTGCGCTTATCTGGACAAAGCATCTACCCGTAGGGAAGAGAGACAAGAAGAAAATGAGTCTTGGCATAATCTATCGAAATGGAAAATATTCTTCCTAGTGAGGAGTGAGATGGCAAGAGAATATCAACAGTTTTTTTCCCATTTGGAGAGGTTCAAACAGCAAAATCTTGGCTTTACCCCTCAATTATGTTTAAGATAGAAGGCCAATCTCAAAAAATGAGGAAGTGAGCCCACCGTGGCCAGCGATACGTGAGCATCCGGATAAGCAAATAAATTTACATTTTGGTCATTTGATTGATGGACGTGTCAGTGAGGTGATGGCAGTGTCACTTCCGTACCACCTCGCCCTCCTCTTGTTATCCGCTCCTACTAACAGGAAGACAGAAGACTAAACACACGGACACACCCACAGTTGACATTTTCGTGTCTTCGTGTTGAGATGCACGTCCTCCAGTAGCAATAGCAGCAGTAACAGGAGAATGTCAGACTGCGTGATCAGTTTGACTCGTCAAGTGTCCTATCCAGAAAAAAAAAACAGCTCGACGATTCCTTTACGTATATATTTCCCCATTAAAAAGACCTTGGAGTCAAGCTTTGCTCATAAAGAAACGTGGCCTTCGGGCTAGCACGCCTAAAATCATCGTATTATATTATCATAAGCCTCCATCCTCCATTGATACTCTTACCCACTGTGGAACCAACTTTTCATTGCAATGCAAAGCATGAACCGGATAAATTAGCAAGACTTTAGTATGATTGATGCTACTGCTAACTAAATGGCCATTATCGATGGAACTCTGAGATAGTGAGGCATCCGCACTCCTAAAGTGGACGCTGAGGAGTAAGGTGTTTGTTGATATAAAACAAATTTACAAAACAGGAGTAAATTGTTTATTGATGAAACGGCTTCAAGGTTGCATGAACCAACACATTTAATCTTATGGAGAAACTAATCCAATGAACGAGATTGTCCCGACTAAACTGAAGACGAAGGCAATCAAAACGTCGTCAGAGAGTAAGGAAGACTTGGAACTATGCGTCATGAGTTGTTAGAAGAAGAAAGCCTTAGTTCAACATAATCTGAGCTCTACATCGTACTTCATTAATTAGGAAACGATCAGTGTACGCAAAGTAGAGCCGCTGACAAATGACAACCTGGGGATCAGCAAGCAGAAAACGACCCAAATATGCAAACACAAAAAATGGAACAAGATAGGAAAAACGTATTAATTGGTTAACTTCACTTGGTTTAGAATAGGTTTTCAAACGAGTAAGTTCAAATAGTTGTTAAATGGGACTGCTAGAGCAGTATACTCTGGCCCGTAGAACGTGGTAAAAGGAATTACCAAAACAATGGTAAAACGGTCATTGTACAACAGGCGTAGAGGTTTTCAGTGTAGCGGCTTGCCAGCAGATGTTATTCTTTTTCCTCGAAAGAAATGAAATAATTGCGTAGCGACTGAAGATAGGATAATGGAGAGCAGGAGATTAAACTGGGCGATAACAAATGTAGCATCAGCAGTCGTAGCAGTGTCTTCCACCACTGCGCCATATGGACGACCACAAATCAACAGAGAGAAAAGTACGCAGGGTGTCTTTCCAGCGGTGCCAGTGAGGAAAAAGCACTCCGTGGAGTGAAAAAGGGAGTGTCACGAATAAATTACAAAAATTTGCTCCCTTCACGGAACCATAGTAATGAGTTCACAAATGGTATTTTCCGCCACGTAGTAAAAAAATTATTCCTACACCTCAAAAATAAAGGCTTACCGGAAAATAAGCAAAAATGGTCTCCAAAACAACGGTGAGAACCTTCTCCTTTCTCAGAAAGAGAAGTTAATTGAAAGGAGTTTGTTGGTTTCACGGGGACACGCAAACTGATAAGTCACTTTGCCGCTCCGACAGCGCCTTGCTGGTATTCCAAAACGGGAACTTTTGAATTACTCCAATTGTATTATTCAAATTTAGAAAACATGATTCACAACTGACCAATATTTATCTAGACTTTGCATTACCTCGATGGCAACCATTGCGATGAAAATAAGGAAAAAATAAATAAACGAAGGCAAAAGGGTTTTAGTTGCGCTAAGAAGCCATTAAAAAATACCTTGCAGAACAAATAAAACCCACACTTTCCCTTAGAAAGTTAAATTAAGTTTTATTTTAGGCATAATTTGGAGGACGAAGTTTGTGCAGGGAAAGAAAGAGATCGGCTGGATGTTCTGAACAAGCAGGGAACGGAAGTGCACGAAGACCTTAAAGGCGCTAACTCGAGAGCCCACTAAGTAGGTTTAGAGTTTCATGCACCAAGTCCTCACATCTATAAGTGTTCATCAGTAGCTAAAGCAGGTCTGCGATAATGAGTGAAGGCCACAACACCAAATTCAATGCTTTGACGGTAGGCAAAAAAACGCTATTCTATTAAGATAGGTTTGGGGAGGAGAAGCACAAGAGAACAGTTTAAAAACGAGTTTTTGTGTTCAATCAACAAAGAGAAGGTTCGGTGGCATTAAATTTGGAGAAGAGATAAACAACAATAAAAAATGTAGTTTAAATATGGTATTAACCAAGAGACCGTCCACACAGCTTCATCACGAAACAGAGTGGCTATGCATCAAGGTGTTAACATGACTGGGCACCGAGATCTGACGCACGCTACTGCTTCAGAAAACACATTCCGACATTAGAAGAATAATATGCAGTTCAACCCAGTATAGGGGAAGGGAGGAAGGCAATGGATCCATCCAATGATCAGTTATGAATATTTCAAAGCTAAAATCGTAAACTTCGCACACATCCCAGCGAGAGGTGAAGGAATATTCCATTTTCCATTTTCAACTATGGGAAAAAAGTTGGACGAAGTGACTCGTGTACAACGATGGTTTCGTGGAACTTCAACCATTAAAATGAAAAGTGGAAGGTTCACTTCACGAAGAAACTAGGTAGAAAACCAATCCTTCATTTCGTCCATGTTGAATCCTGGAGTAAAGACCTTGCCATCAAAGACAAAAAAACGTTGTGATCCCTCATTAAGCGTGCAAGATGGACCAAGTTATGGATGTAAACAGAGCGAATTTGTCTGATTAATTGAATCTCGGATAATTTTGTCAATTTTTTGCCTGGAAGAGGCAGAAGACAACAGAAGTAGGAACTCACATCAGTCCTCGAGGGGCAGAGGATGACGGAAGAGCAGAGATAAGAAAGGGTGGAAGGCTCCGCAAAATCACAATGATAAGCCGGCGACGTAAGATTCTCCATGGCCTGTCGCACGTAGCTCACCAGACTCTGTGCTGCTGGTGTCACGTTGACACGGATGTTGTCCTGACGAGGAAGAAACAACAAAAGTTCAATGGCTTTATTTGTTTAGACAGGCTTTTCGAATAAGGTCGCCGTGGTATCATAGCAGCAGTAAAGAAATGATTAAAAAAATGCTAATGAAAGGCCTCCATTGCAACTAAACAAAGTTGTGATGTTGTGGATGTTAACTTCTGATCATGAAGTCTCAAATGAAGTTGTAACTATCAGAGTTCGTCGGAAGTGACTAAGATATGCATTACCACCGAATAGCAAGACAATCGCTGCCATTAGCAGCGCTATACAAATCAAAGTGAGCACAGGACAAAGCTCAAGAAGGCTACACTATTTGGCTGTGCGAGTCAACTAAATGTCACGCGATTCAGATTCCACTTAGTACAGTGAATCTAGACTCTTGGCACACCTCACACAACTAGTCCTTCAACCTTCCGGCGCATTCATGATAAACTTACTTGAATCTATGTAATAGGTGCACTTGAGCCTATGAATACTCCATGAGCAACCCAGTTACCACAGAAAGATGACCAACAACAGAAAGTGCAACTAAAAGGTCAACTGCGGAGAAAGCTACGTCAAAACACATTTTGAGCAAAACATCAGATTTCACTCTTCTAGCGTGGCTCTAAAGATAGTGCACAACCATTTAAGAGAAAATGGGGCACAAATGTGTCTAAAATTAAAATTCAAACGTAGCACTCGAACTGGATGTAAACCATAATTAATTTTGACTGAAAAATTTAAAGCATTTGAAGCTAGTATAAAACACAATTGGAGTATAAGCGGCATCATACTGCTACGACGAACGTGAACTACGTCAGAAATCATTACAACTAGGGGTTCATAAAACAGTTCTAGCATGATACTCATCTTAAGACGCACTTCTTGACAGCATAAACCTCACCAATCCTCCGTGATTCGATCATTATACAAGTCGGATGGAGCTATGCTACTATTTGTGGATGATAAGGTCATCAACACCTGAACTCGTAAGCATGTTCGAACAATGCAGAGGCTCTGTGAACCTAAGGAGTGCCATGCCATCATGATATTTTGCACGAACGAATTCTGCTAACAGTAAAGACAAGGAGGCAGGCAATTGCAATACGGCGAGTAAAACATGTACAGGGGCGCGGTTTTATGTTTTCAGGAAAAGATACGGCAGCAGTTAGAGGGTGGTTGTGTGCAACCAATTTAGACGAGGATGGGGAGAGCATCACAATGCTTTCATATAGGATAGGGAGATCTGCGGGAATTTCAGACGAAAAGATAACAAATGGGTGTGGGCAAAAATGCAGCTTTCTTTTCACTGGGAATTCGGTGCATTGTTCAAGGCTACTTCTTGATGTAAAAAACCTTTAAATGCATGTATAGTGTTCAAGCAACCTGCCTCGTGCGACAATACGGAAAAATCATAGAAATCACGACTGCTCTGTCAGAGGAAAGTTGGGAAACACACAGAAACTGAGTACCTGTTATATCGCTCCCTCGACTAATCACGTTTACATCATTATTAGATTTGGCATTCATGGTCTGGACAAGTACTTGTTTGTACACTCGTAACAGAAAAAAAGGTGCTAGAGAAAACATCTGCATCCATCTATGTATCTAATAGAAGCATGGGTCTTATATTAGTGAAATTGACGCAAAAGCTAATAGAAATACCTACAACACTAGCAACAATCACATGCATGTGGCAATTGCTTGTCTAGGCAAAACGTCACAGGTATGTAGCACAAACTCTTTCCCAACCTTCAATAAAAGCTCATATAGTTTAGCTTAACACAATGCATCAGATGTCAGATGTTCCGAGACTAGAGTAAGTTCACTGTTTATGCACAGAAGTTGATTGGATCAAATAGGTGGAGAAGTCTAGACCATGCTGAAGGACTTTCCTCCAAGATGTCTACATTAAGTGGTCAGGAATAACATGGCCAACTTTAGCAGAGGCGCATCTAGTTCTTATCGGAATGCACATCGAGGAGAGTAGTGATGATCGTGCAGAAGACGCGCAATTGCCTTCTGTCAATGTGTATTTATCCATAGGTTTGATTGGCGCTCCCAAAGAGTAGAAAATAGCATGAAATCTTGTGCATTATGCTAATCAGGAGTATCAAAGAATAGCATTCAATGTGACGAATACGACGCAGAACCTTAAGCCGGGGGTCACATGAATGGAAGAGGAAGCATGGGCAAAATTCGGCTTGAAAAAAGTGAATAAATTTTGTCGGAGGGAGGGGGAACAGGAAGGAGGAGAGTAGGCGACAGCAAGAAAGGAGCAGTTGTCAGGCCCAAATTGAAATGAATGACCTGCCCGCTTGGTATTTCGCTCAAACACGCTTGTGCGCTCTTGCCTGCTACTGGCAGTTGTTCAGCAGAGGGAAAAAGCGAGTAATCAAACGCAAGTAAGTTACTGGTGGGGGGAGGGGGGGAGGAAGAAGAAATTGCAATTCATCTACCACCCTCTATCCCCTCCCGAGTCTGACCAAATCCTTACTGATGGTAAGCAAAGCGTAGGAATTAAAAGGGTCGCATTTTGAAAACATTCAAAGGTATGCAACATTTACCCACGTCTGATGAACTCATCGAATTTCTGATATTTTGGGTTAAAGCGGTAGATCAAGAGATAGGTAGTTGGAACGTCCAAAATATGGAGACGAACGAGAATCCAAAGTAGTGGATATAAAAGCGACCGGACTTCTAAACGAGGGAATTTCGAGTCAGTACCAATTTAACCATCGTTTGCCAACCTTCTTGTAAAAGGTATTAGCGTTGAACCAAAGACGGCAGACTTTCATCCATCCTTTTATACCGAAGAAAATTCACTACAACCGGTCCTCTTGGAAAGGAGACAAATTAATCAACGTTCAGTTCAGACAAAATACTCAATTGACATTAGTGAGGTCAAAAAGAACGCACAATGCCACCCTTACCACCCCACAGTCCACCCGCGGGGAAAATGGCTTATGTGAGCACCATGTGAAAGACAAATCTTAACTCCAAAAACTTGATCCATAAGGCTATAAGTGCGTTTCTAAATGGTGGAATTTCGATATGTGAAGGAATAGTAAACGAGAAGGAAATAGGATGTGGTTGAGTTATTCTTATAGGAATACGATTTATAATTAATGTTTAGCTATTCCTAAGAAAGTCACTGGCTCATTGACTAAGATTAACATCTCCCAAGACACAACACGATCAAGAAAACGAGACTTGGGAAATAAAAAATACTAATTAAAAGCAGACTATGCAATTCAAAAGTGCTAAATTAGAGCTCTCGAATCAAAAAAGTTGTCCAGTGAAGCTATGGCAGTAAAAGAGTAAATTGTCAAAGTTTTAACGAGAAAAAAATATGCGCCCATTTGTTGCTGCGGAAAAAAAGGTGGAAAAAGAGAATCAAAAGTGCGACTGCAAGTGAACACGAGGACGCGGAAACACCAGTCTATTTGTTTAACCGATTGTTCAGGCAGGGAAATCAAAGAGCAAGTGAGCGGAGAGACCGAGGTAAAGCAACGCCCTGAAACGTAAGGGGGACCTAAATGAAGAAACTAACGGGCACTACCGACAGTGGCATACATGTATCGAAATCTCTTCTGTAGGTATGGGTGTGAAAACTCTCGAATCTCCGCTGAAATGAGCGATGAAATCGAGTAACGAACCCCGTCAAGAGCAAGAACGATACGTGAGGCCGGAGGTACAGTGAGACGCTTTTCCAAACCACATTCAGGGTTTTCGTGATCTGGAAGCCTCCAATTCTGTGCTTCGAGCGTCCTTTTGTCCTTTTTGGCGACAGAGTATGATGATAAGCCGAAAAGTCGACCGAACCACGATGATTTTCGTGGGACTTCTGGCACCGCCAGCTAAAATAATAACATTCGCTACTGAGTGCACTCAAGTAGCATCACAGGTCTGCAAACCATAACATTTAAAAACTAAAATTTTTCAATAATATGAGTATTTTTGGGATTTGATAGAATCAAGCTCTGAAAGCGATAAATAAACACTGATTTTCAATATTCTGCTTCCTTACGAAGCGGATGTGACAAATTACAAAAAA